TATTCTATTGATTCGCAACGATCCTAAGTTTCGATAGAAAATAAAAAACTTTTTTCTAACAAAACAAAAACTCACATGAATATATCAAATCCATGATCTCTATTTTACTAGCTAGCACTAGCCACATGCAGTCCTAGACTGCGTATTTTTTAAGAAGCCTTCAGTCTTCTGATCTTACGGCATTAAGTCATGGAAACTAAAGACTTATGAGRTTAATTGCGTCGCAGTATGAAGTCCTATTTAGCTGATCCAAAGAAATGTTTTGAAGTAGAAATGCACCGGAGAATCTTCCATTTCGATTCTCAATAATTTTATTCACACGACAACCAAATTCTCATTGGTGGCGTTCGTGTTTAGAGATTAATAAGTTGCCAGTCGGTCTCAAAGGACCGATAACAAATTAAGCCCTTTTGGCAAATTCTCCTTTAATCTATTTTATCTTGACAATTTTTGCTTCAAAGGAATTTATCAGATATTAAACGACTTATTAGGACCCAGGACGTCTGAAATCGGCTAGCATGAAAAAATAAATGTGTGGGAATTTCATAAGTTMTTTTATCAAAGGTCTCGTAGAAGACTTTAATAGTAAGCAAAACTCTCAGCAGGTTTYACACATTTTGCACTCGAACTACAGTAGTATTTAAAAAMATTTTATACTATAAACACTTGTGTATCAAAGGAGARCACGAGAGAGTTATCGGATTACTGATAGTGAACTTCGCCACTGGAGCCAAGCTGTTGACAGACAATTTGCTGTTATAGATAAAAATAGCAGCCTTTACATTCCTCCTCACACAACTGCCACAAACTTGCCACAAACTACTATCTCGTGACGRAGTATTTTCAGCATTTCCTCGTTTAAATCCTCAACTCAACAATGGGCCGAGTTTATAGAGTTAAATTTTGGTTGCGCTGAATCTACATACAATATATATGCATGAATTCATGAAGAAAAGCACACGCACGCGGAGAGAAATCCGAACGTTTTTGCGGTGCACACTTGAAGTATTTTTCAATCGCTAAAAAAACCCGAACTTAAAAATGAATTATTTATTAGAGTCGGGAAATGAAACTTTRACAAAAGAGTCTAAAAATATCGTAGTAAAATGACTGATTTAATGCAACTTTTGCGTGAGCGTTGCTAATGAAATTTAAGGAAAATATCCTGAATTTTTGTATTATCGCAGGTTCTTTTATCAAAGTGGTCAGACACCACGGCACCCAATATCGCATTTATCGAGTTTCAAGTCGGTCCCAACACGCGCCCTGTCAGCTGACTAACTTTACGTCCACAATTCGGCGACTGCGGGTCTCACTTTGTGAATTAAAATCGTAGAATGTTTGAAGCATTTGATAGTTAAAAGGCAATGATATTTAATTAGTCAAAACTTGGTTGATGGTCATCTAGACGGCGAAAAACACTGATACCGCGAAAGAGACATAAACCAGATGACAGCACAATCTAATTGAGGTCATTAGCTCGGGGAAGAGGAGAGGAGAACAGTGTAAACACGACTGTTGTTCTTCGAGATTGTTTATTTAGTATCGATGGACATTCTTTAACTGCTACACAGTGGAAAGCAGTAGGTTTTCTTACAAAAACAAAAGGGTAAATCGCAAACGGGCACTCTACATCATGGTTGGTCATTAAGTCAAGATGAAACAATCCGAAAGATTCTACCTAGAGTCAACTCACTGGAAAAAAGAAAATCTTAACCCTTCTTATGGTATCTCACAAGACTTCCGCTGTGTTTGACAGAATAATAGTAGGTAAAATCAGATAACAAGCAAATGAAGGACAGCCTAATTACCGCCCCAACGAAGCAAACTCTGGCCTGAAGTTCGACAGCCAAGATCAAAGAGATAATAGTGCATCGTTTTCCCTCAAAATCCGTCTCGCGGTGACGTTTTCTTACATTTGGCGTCAAGTGAGGACGTGAATTGAGCTCATATAAAGCTGTTCTACACTTCGTTGCTTTTATTTGCCTAGACCCTCAAGATTTAGTGGGAATACCTTGCTTAAGACTGTGGAAAGSCATATTGGAGAAACCGGTCATGGCGTCAGTCGATTATGACTCAGTTGACTACGAAGAATGGAATCAAAGTATTTATGAGTATGGCGAAGAAATGACTGCTCCTGTTTACAAAGAAACGCTTCCAACCTATGTGATCTTTATGTTAGTCTTGTATACTATAATATTCATAGTTGGATTCTTTGGGAATTGTATTGTTATTTATGGTGTCATGCAACAAGGACTGAACAAGACAACAAGCAGTTTTTTCATTGCTAACTTGGCGCTTTCGGATCTTGCTGTTCTTGTTCTAAGTTTACCTGTTGGTCTGCTTCAAGAGCTTGCTTCATGGCCATTTGGTGAGCTGGCTTGTAAGATATTCTATCCACTGGGCGATGTTTTCTTACTAGTCTCAATTATGACTTTGACGGTCATTAGCTTCGATCGATATAGAGCAGTAGTAACTCCGAAAAAACGCTTCACTAAAACTCAAACTAAACTAGCTATTTTAGTAATATGGATAATTTCTTACCTTATTTGTGGACTACCGACTTCGTTTCTTCTTAAACTGATCACAACGAACGAAGGAGTAAAGTTTTGCTATCCATTCTGGCCGACTACGTTACAAAGGAGAGTTCATATGATTGTAATCACTGTCATTGTCACTATCCCTCTATTTATCATCGCATATTCTTACATAAGAATCGTACGAACATTATGGCGCGTTCGTGTTATACACAAGAACGTTGTTGGTCTTACAAAGGAATCCCATGCTAGACTAGAGAAGAAACGCAAGCTAGTTAAGATGCTTATTTTAATCGTCTTCGCTTTCACAGTTTGTTCACTCCCTTACATCGTCTACACACTGTTTCTCGAGTTTGGCTTCGACAAGGAAAAGCAAGTCGAAATGGAGATAGGTTTGGTTGTAGTTTTGTCTTTATTCTACACCAACAGCGCCGTGAATCCTTTAATATTATGCGGAATGAGCAAAGATTACCGAAAAGGACTACGGCCATGTAAATGTTGATTGCTTACAAGCCGTCAGTTGACAAAAGCTTTCCTTTTYATAGCTTTGAATAAACAAACCGACGGAAGCCAAAAKACTTTGTCATGAAACATAGAACGACGTCATGTGTGTATTAAAATGAACCACCTTTTCTCTTTTTAAAGAGAGAAATAATGTTGACAGTGCTAAAGAGATCAAAGTTGCAGCCAACAGATGACTAGGATGTGTTCCTCTGTAGCTGCGTCWAACTTGGAGTTTGGGGAACTTTTAATGCTAATTACGACGCTCCTGGTACTGAAAATCMTCTTTATCTCCGGGGTAAAGTATTATTCATACTTAGATAATTTTCGACAGATCTATGGTTTCCTATAAAAGAACTCGGAAGCCAAGATTTTGGAATTTGTCCAGTTGATTTCTGCTTCAGTTGGAAGAGATGAATTTTGTTGATAAATTGTGAATCTCTTTCAGCCATAATAAGAGTCATTTCTTCGAAAGAGGCGATTCTAATGTTTGGTGTAAGCTAGATATCAAATGGGTGTAAATATGCAAATTTATTTTTGTATAGTTTACATGTATTATCTTACAGTGCCCAGAGTGACACAAATGTCAAATATTACTAATGACTGTGTAATTTTAACCCGGCTATGTTATAGCATTTTCATGATTGTAAAGCAGTGATTATTTTTTATATTGAAACATCGTACAATTTTTTTTAGATAAGTAAAAATTGCTGACAAAAGAAGAAGAATATATTGTCCTAAAAACATTATTTGTTATTTGCTCCAGTCAAACTAAGGAGAGTCTAAGGATTGTGTCCAAAGTAATTGCAATATAATTTTTTTCCACGTGGAAACTATTCATTGAAGTATTCTGAATATCATACTAAAAATCCCTTCGGTGGAACATTCGGTGGAACATTGAAATTGAAGATGAATAGGGCAGGTAGCACAGGGATCCCAACACAATTAAATTGTACAAAAACACATATTTTGTTTCTTTTTCAAGCCAGTTTATACATTTCATTGTGTCATATTRTTATATTGTGATTAATTGACTATAAAATATAACTATTTTCTAAAATTTGACAAATTCAATACGTTTCTCGCTATTAACACAGGGATCCCATACGCYACAAGCAGCAAGAATACTACGAWTGTACAAWTTTTTTTTMACGTTAATGTCAAATTATCAAAATTACTTAAATTTCGTTTRGCAGTGCATCATTATCTTTATCTTCAAAGTCTGGGCTTGCAACATTTAARCAACTCTGTCTTTACATGTTTCGCAAAAGCCGAGCATTCTGTGTTTTCTACAAGTGTATCGCAACTTTCTGCAKTCTGCTTTGCAGTTGTACCTTCTGATGATCACCAAATCAGTTCCAATAGGCAAGCGCTTTCCGTCAACCATTTTCCATCWCCATTGGACAGGATCAAGATGACAGTTCCCTTTCCATTACTGCACTTGATAAGACACCCTTTTGCTATGATATTTTGCTGCAGAAGATGATTGTGATAGGTTTTGTGGTTCTAAGCATGCGAATGAAGTGGCTACCTTTTGACAGAAGCGATTATATCGTAAATTGTCCAGACTCTCGTTGGTCACACTATGGCTGTACAAACATAACAGAGGTTTTTTCACCAGCGCATACAATGCTTTCTTGGCAGGTATCAGAGTTGAATGCACTTGCTTGATGGCGGAAGGAACGTGTTCGTTTTGAGCACATCCTTTTYCAATTACATGTACTTKTGATGTTGTATCACAGCCGAACACTGCGTGAATGAATAAGAAAATCGCTTCGCAAACTTTTTCCCCCAGATCCTTTTTTGTTTGGTGGATATCCAAGATTTTTCGTGTCATCGATGACTTCTTCGGGTTGGGCATAAAACTTCCTTTCAGCGTAATAGCAAAGTAAGACTAGAAGAATGAGAGTCAGTTGTAAGGTAAAATACACTCTGTTTGCAGGGTATTAATGGCATGACCTTTTAGGTCAAATTTAGATTTTTATCGTTTTGAAGTCGTTGCAGAGAGCAGTCAAAAAGATATCGTATCGTGTGAATAAACGGTTTTGAACAGTACATTAATGAAAGTGAAAGTAACGCATTCTTGATTTCACTATGTATTAGAAGTAAAAAAATATATACATTCTACGCCATAATTTACATTATGACAGAATATAACATTATCATTATCATGTCTAAAACCTTTCACTCGTTCTCCTATACGCGCATCCATGTAATATCCTGTCTTTATCAATTTTCAAAAATAGCTASTCCGACTTCACGCTCCAAGAGCGTCTAGTTATTAAAAAATGCTCATACTTAGCGTGCGTCCATCCTGTTTTGGAAGCATGCGAGGGTCTGCTAAGCGCAACAAGTTGGGCAACGCGAGGTGGATTGCACAATGATTTTAGAGAAAGCCATAATTTTATAACATAGATAACAATTGAGACCTAAAACAGTTTTTCCTGCTCCAATCGGTTGAATTTAACATCACGTTAACCTCTTGCCTGAATTAGCCTGAATTAGACGGCAACATGTTGCCTTATCGCGAAAGGTAAGGTTTAAATAAGAAAGTTTGTGTCATGTACATCAACTTTCCTGTACAAATACAGGGGTTGCACCTAGCATGAATGTAAAGGAAGGGGATGCACAAGAACTTGAAGCAACGGCTTCTATTTTCTGCGACACTAGCCACCTAAAAATTAAAGATACCATTTGACGAAAAAATAAAATGACTTTCTACTTACTACTGCTGGTGCTCAACGACCTAGTGGAGAATCATAATAAAAATTATTGATT